TTGTGACAAAGTTGCTTGCATAGGCCGTGATCATTTCGCCCACTTTTGCTTGGCTTTCACATATGACAGGACAGCAATGGACGTGAAAAGGACGATTAGTGTGTTGACTTGTTTGTTGAGAAAGCAGAGTTTATGTGCGAAGCGGCTACTATTCGAGCTCTCATTTCCACTGTCGTTCCTTGGGATGCGGTGCTCGCTGCCTGTGGCTCAAGAAATGTGTTGCCTCGTAAACATCGTGGTTGCAAGGCCAAGCTGATATCAGATCCTACGATTTCCAGGAGTGGCGATCTATTCCCTCGAGCTCGAGGTCTGCTCATGGTACAGCTCGTTTCCGATACCTGGTGGATCTCGATGCAATGAGTGAAATCACAATACCATGCACTAAAGTAATAGTCGGTCACAAGAAATGACGGGGTTGCAGTGCTGATAGCGCAATGGAGTATGCTGCTCACGAACCGGCCATTCTGATGGCACGAGAAGATGACTTTCACTCATCGCATGAGTTCCATTCGAGGCCAAAGACACCAGGAACCACGAGTTTGTGAACGGTATAAGACCCATTGGCACTCAGCAATTCTCGGGGCATATTGTTCACCACCCCTTCCGGGATTGGACACCCTGTGCCACGCGAATCCTACTCAGTGTTCTTATTGACAGGTGACATACACGTTGGTGAGCCCTGCCCAGCAAATAGCGTTCTCAAAAGAGGTCGGGTCGTCTTTCTGGGTTGTTGAATGGGACAGTAACTGACTAGCAGGTGTACCATGCATGATGAAAGCCTTATTTCGTCACACTGCAAGTAGCTTTTATGATGGACAGGCGAATCCACCTGGTATCCTACCTAAGATACCTGAGTGCAGCCACCGCCCATCTGTGACGGCAAAACAGGCACCAGATCATCGGCAGTGGGAGTGGTACTCTCCTGAGGTTTGCAATATATAATGTGCTGGAAATCAAGTCTATCAAGCTTGCGGATGCCCCGTGAAACGAATATGAATGGCAATGTTGATCAACAACTTTGACAGGCAAACATGATGGCCTTCGGTTCGTCGGGAAGCGGCTGGCGGGTCGGATATACGACCCTTTTCGGAGGCTCGTCATGTCGGATGCCGACGCAGACCGATGCAACAGAGAGGTGGACCTGCCTGATGTACGACCAGGGCCCTTCAGGCGCTCAGGCTTCAGAGTTTCCAGTGTCGCTAGAAGTGGAGGAATGTCCGACAAACTTGAAATGATAATCCATGGGGCGACAATGGTGCTCAACTGGTGTGCTCCGCACATACTGGGGCCACCACATTACACTCACTGACTGGCTTTTGGAGTTGCCGAGAGTGACGCGTGCACAGTGAAAGCGAAGCGGTGAGATATATGCTTGAACTCGATCGTGCGGTACTTTCGACCAAGGCCAAGCAAGGCATGAGAAAAGGCATAAGGGCCCGTTTTGATGCTGGCAACTTGATGTGTCTCGTCGCGCTGTCGTTCGTTTGAGACCAGTTCCTCCACAGAACGATCCTCTTCCATGCGGAGGATGGGGTTGGGTCTGGCTCGTCCCGCAGAACACCGATGGGAGCAGAACAGGAGTGGTTCGAGTCGGGCGAGCCGGATCCAGGATGTCTCTTAAATGGCGCTTCGATTGACAGGTTGGCCGACGCTCTCTCCACCTGTCACGCTGGAAGCAGCACTGTGCTGTCGGGTTGGCGGCAGGCTTGTCTGTCCATGCGTGAGAGAGTAGCGCAGGTTAGGCGCAACGGACAAGGTACCCAAGGCGCGCTACCTGTAGAAGTTCGCTCCTGGTGGGCTTGACGAGGAAAAGAGCCCGCTCCGGCTGCTGCATCGGCTTCGTCCTGATCTCGCGGCCCAATGAACTGGCCGCAGGACGCTGAAGTTATCTAATCTGATGGGGATCTGCCCATCTCGGTTGGAGCCTTCGACGAGATTTAACCGCTGTTGGCGCACGGCCTGAGCCTTCTGATGTGCAGACAGCCATACCATAACGACAGGGGCGGTGCTCGTCGCACTGGCAGGCCCTTGCTCGCCTTGAAGCTTGACATTTTAGCCCGGTCTTACCCACCTACTTCGCCATGCGTTGTTCTGTGATGAATAGCGGGAGGCAGGGAGGCAGGGAGTCGAGTGGGGGTGGTCCAAATCGACCAACAGGCCTGTGTGAAAACCAGCAGGATTGGATTCGAATGACCCCAAGGTGGAATGCCAAACGAGCTGGGCCATGATGGACGGACGGACAGACTTGCGGTGTCTTGGATGGTCGTCTCCAGTGTTCCTTTTCCACTGCCGTGGCGCTCAGTGTGTCTTTTTCTCCGTGAGTCATCTGACGCGGATCGAACGCGTGCTAGATGTAAATACCAGTACTGTACCGTACAGCGTACAGCGTACAGCGTACCATCGCTGGCAAGGCGAGATCGGGTGCAGTGAGCTCTCGGCGTGGTTCAGGTTCCCCTGTCTGCTTTCGGGGCGCGAATCTGTGACTGGTGGGCCTGGCAGCCTCGTACCCGCCCAGGCCGCCCCAAGCCGCGAGCTGACCTCATCAGTCGCAAGTGCCCAAGCCTTCGTGCCTTCCTCCCTGGCCCCCCCACCAAACAGAAGGGACAGAATCCACACCGACTGCGCCTGCGCTGCTTCTGTTGCGCTGCACCACACCAATGCACCTGCCTGCTGCACACTGCGGACTGCGTGCCGCCCCTGCCTACGCATCCCTCCCAAACGTCCGCTACATCCACCACGTCCACCACATCCACACAACCACACCACTCAACTTGGGCAGGCGCGTGTTCCAAGTTTGACCGTTCGTCACTGCCCTTGCACCTGACCCAGCTGCTGACGCCCCTTGCGCCCCTCGCGTACCCATCCCATGTTCCTGCCCACGTCCACTTCTCAGTCGTGCTGATCCATCCATCAGGCACGGGAAGCACCGTCTGCGGAAGAAGAAGGAGAGACGAGGAGCGCCGACCCCCACCCGCGCCTGCCTGGGCTGTCACGGCACCGTTTGGATCTGCACCTCCCGTCCCGTTGGTGGTCGTGAGCTGGCCCTGTGCCTCCCCCCCCCCTGTGCTTCCTCCAAGCTACAAAGACCCTCTCAAGCCTCTTCCACCCACTTGGACACTTCTAGCCAAGGCCATGTTGGGTGATAAGAATCCATCTGCTTCGAATTCCCCTTACCAACATCCCCTAAGCGAGCTCGGAACCCCCCTTCTACAGCCCTCCGAGCCTGGCGAACCTCTTCCTCTGCGCCTCGAACCTCTGCGCCAACGTCTCCGAACCGAACCTTCGACAGCGAGCGCCGGCACGCGTACTGCCCGAGAGAACAAGACCGACGTTGCGACGTCCTCATACCACGACTTTGCCTCCGAACATGGTGGGGGAAGGCATCGATACCTTACGACTACACACCCCCTCCCCGCTCAACTGATAAAGGAGGGAGGGATACATACACCCCCCCATCTGACATCACCGGATTTAATATCCTCTTCGGGTCCGTTATCTATACCGTTATTCGAAAAAGATTCACCCTAATGCATGAAAGTCAAATTAATCCTGAGAGCAGGCATGCTGAAAGGTTTTCGAGTGATCTATCCTTCATTATGAATACGTCACGACAGGATAAGGATCGTCT